CCTCTTTTCTCTTTCTCATTTTACATTCTTTTTCTCACTTTCTCATTCCTCTGTCTCTCACCACATCTTTCTTTCCTTTTTCCTCCATCTTTCTCTAAATACGATCCACTCTTTTTCTCTTTTCTCTTTTACTCTCTTTTTCTCACTTTCTCATTCCTCTGTCTCTCACCCACATCTTTTCTTTCCCTATTTCTCCATCTTTCTCTCATGATCCCTCTTTTTCTCTTTCTCTTTGCTCTCTCTTTTCTCACTTTCTCATTCCTCTGTCTCTCACCCCATCTTTCTTTCCCTATTTCCTCAATCTTTCTCTAAATGCGATCCTCTTTTCTCTTTCTCTTTTACTCTCTTTCTCACTTTCTCATTCTCTGTCTCTCACCCATCTTTCTTTCCCTATTTCCTCAATCTTTCTCTAAATGCGATCCTCTTTTCTTTTCTCTTTTACTCACTTTTTTCTCTCTTTCTCATTCCTCTGCCTCTCACCCACATCTTTCTTTCCCTATTTCCTCAATCTTTCTCTAAATGCGATCCTCTTTTCTCTTTCTCTTTTTACTCTCTTTTTCTCACTTTCTCATTCCTCTCTCTTCTTTCTTTCCCTCTGTCTCCTTCTTTTCTCTAAATACGATCACTCTTTTTCTCTTTCTCTTTTTTCTCTCTTTTCTCTTTTCCTCTGTCTCTCACCCACATCTTTCTTTCCCTATTTCCTCAATCTTTTCTTCTAATCCCTCTTTTCTCTTTCTCTTTTCCTCTCTTTTCTTTTCTCATTTCTGTCTCTTTGCTTTCTTTCCCTTTCCTCTTCTTTCTTTCAGTCCTCTTTTCTCTTTCTCTTTTTCTCTTTTTCTCATTTTTTTCTCCACCCTCACTTTTCTCATTCCTCCTGTCTCCCTTTCTTCCTCCTCTTTCTCTAAATCATTCTCTGTCTCTAATCCCTCTTTTTTCTTTTCTCTTTTCCTCTCTTTTCTCTCCTTTCTCTTTTCTCTGTCTCTCACCCCCATTTCTTTCTTTCCCTATTTCTCCTTCTTTCTCTAAATGCGATTCTCTTTTTTCTCTCTCTTTTCTCTTTTTCTCACTTTCTCATTCCTCTGTCTCTCACCCCACATCTTTCTTTCCCTATTTTCCTCAATCTTTTCTCTAAATACGATCCACTCTTTTTCTCTTTCTCTTTTACTCTCTTTTCTCACTTTCTCATTCCTCTGTCTCTCACCCCATCTTTCTTTCTATTTCCTCCCATCTTTCTCTAAATGCGATCCTCTTTTTCTCTTTCTCTTTTTACTCTCTTTTCTCACTTTTTTCTCATTCCTCTGTCTCTTTTTCTTTCCTATTTCTTTTCCTTTCTCTAAATCCGATCCCTCCTTTTCTCTTTCTCTTTTTACTCTCTTTTTCTCCTCATTCCTCTGTCTCACCCACATCTTTCTTTCCCTATTTCCTCCATTTTCTCTAAATGCATCCACTCTTTTTTCTTTTCTCTTTTACTCTCTTTTTCTCCTTTCTCATTCCTCTGTCTCTCCCCCATCTTTCTTTCCCTATTTCCTCCATCTTTCTCTAAATACGATCCCTCTTTTTTCTTTCTTTTTCTTTTCCTCTTTTTCTCACTTTCTCATTCCTCTGTCTCTCCACCCATCTTTCTTTCCCTATTTCCTTCCTCTTTCTCTAAATACGATCCTCTTTTCTCTTTCTCTTTTCTCTTTTTCTCCTTTCTCATTCTTTTCTCTCACCCCATCTTTCTTTTTTCTCCTCCCTCTTTCTCTAAATCGATCCCCTTTTTTCTTTCTCTTTTACTCTCTTTTTTCACTTTCTCATTCCTCTGTCTCTCACCCACATCTTTTCTATTCCCTCCTCTTTTCTCTTTTCTCTTTCTCTTTTACTCTCTTTTCTCACTTTCTCATTCCTCTGTCTCTCACCCCATCTTTCTTTCCCTTTTTCCTCCATCTTTCTCTAAATGCGATCCAATCTTTTCTCTTTTCTCTTTTACTCTCTTTTCTCACTTTCTCATTCCTCTGTCTCTCACCCATCTTTCTTTCCCTATTTCCTCCATCTTTCTCTAAATGCATCAATCTTTTCTCTTTCTCTTTTACACTCTTTTTCTCACTTTCTCATTCCTCTGTCTCTCACCCATCTCTTTCTTTCCTATTTCCTCCAATCTTTTCTAAATGCGATCCACTTTTTTTCTTTCTCTTTTACCTCTTTCTCACTTTTTCTCATTCCTCTGTCTCTCCCCACTCTTTCTTTCCCTATTTCCTCCCTCTTTCTCTAAATACGATCCTCTTTTCTCTTTCTTTTTACACTCTTTTTTCTCACTTTCTCATTCCTCTGTCTCTCACCCATCTTTCTTTCCCTATTTCCTCCTCTTTCTCTAAATACGATCCACTCTTTTCTCTTTCTCTTTTACCCATCTTTCTCTTTTCTCACTTTCTCATTCCTCTGTCTCTCACCCACTTTCTTTTTCCCCTATTTCCTCCCTCTTTCTCTAAATGCGATCCACTCTTTTTCTCTTTCTCTTTTACACTCTTTTTCTCACTTTCTCATTCCTCTGTCTCTCACCCACATCTTTCTTTCCCTATTTCCTCCCTCTTTCTCTAAATGCCCTCTTTTTTCTCTTTCTCTTTTACTCTCTTTTTTTTCTTTTCTCATTCCTCTGTCTCCCCCCCATCTTTCTTTTTTCCTCCATCTTTCTAAATGCGATCCACTCTTTTTCTCTTTCTCTTTTACTCTCTTTTTCTCACTTTCTCATTCCTCTGTCTCTCACCCACATCTTTCTTTCCCTATTTCCTCAATCTTTCTCTAAATGCGATCCACTCTTTTTCTCTTTCTCTTTTACTCTCTTTTTCTCCTTTCTCATTCCTCTGTCTCTCACCCCATCTTTTCTTTCCCTATTTCCTCAATCTTTTCTCTAAATGCGATCCCTTTTTTCTCTTTTCTTTTACTCTCTTTTTTCACTTTCTCATTCCTCTGTCTCTCACCCCATCTTTTTTTTTCCCTATTTCCTCCATCTTTTCTCTAAATACGATCCTCTTTTTCTCTTTTCTCTTTTACTCTCTTTTTCTCACTTTCTCATTCCTCTGTCTCTCACCCACATCTTTCTTTTCCCTATTTCCTCCCCTTTTCTTTCTCTAAATACGATCACTTTTCTCTTTCTCTTTTACTCTCTTTTTCACTTTTCTCATTCCTCTGTCTCCCACCCCATCTTTCTTTCATTTCCTCCATCTTTCTCTAAATGCGATCCACTCTTTTTCTCTTTCTCTTTTACTCTTTTTCACTTTCTCATTCCTCTGTCTCCCACCCACATCTTTCTTTCCCTATTTCCTCAATCTTTTTAAATGCGATCCTTTTTTCTCTTTCTCTTTTCACTCTTTTCTCACTTTCTCATTCTCTGTCATCTTTCTTTCCCCATCCTTTCTTTTTCTCTAAATGCGATCACTCTTTTTTCTTTCTCTTTTACTCTCTTTTTCTCTAAATGCGATCCACATCTTTCTTTCCCTCTTTTCTTTTACTTTTTCTTTCTCTTTTCTCTTTTCACTTTCTCATTCCTCTGTCTCTCACCCATCTTTCCTTTCCCAATATTTTCCTCCATCTTTCTCTTTAAATGCGATCCTTTTTCTCTTTTTTTTCTCTTTTTTCTTTCTTTTTCTCTCTTTCTTTCTCATTCCTCTTTCTCTCTTTCCCACATCTTTTTTCCTATTTCCTCAATCTTTCTCTAAATCCGATCATCTTTTTTCTTTTTCTCTTTCTCTTTTACTCTTTTTCTCACTTTCTCATTCCTCTGTCTCTCACCCACATCTTTCTTTCCTATTTCCTCAATCTTTCTCTAAATACGATCCTCTTTTTCTTTTTTCTTTTTACACTCTTTTTCTCACTTTCTCATTCCTCTGTCTCTCACCCACATCTTTCTTTCCCTATTTCTCCTCTTTCTCTAAATGTCCGATCCACTTTCTTTTTCTTTTTTCTCCTTTTACTCTCTTTTCTCACTTTTCATTCCTCTGTCTCTCACCTCACATCTTTCTTTCCCTATTTCCTCCATCTTTTCTCTAAATGCGATCCACTCTTTTTCTCTTTCTCTTTTACCTTTTTTTCACTTTCTCATTCCTCTGTCTCTCACCCCACATCTTTCTTTCCCCTTATTTCCAATCTTTCTCTAAATGCGATCCTCTTTTTCTCTTTCTCTTTTACACTCTTTTTCTCACTTTCTCATTCCTCTGTCTCTCACCCACATCTTTCTTTCCCTATTTCCTCCCTCTTTCTCTAAATGCGATCCACTCTTTTTCTCTTTCTCTTTTACACTCTTTTTCTCACTTTCTCATTCCTCTGTCTCTCACCCACATCTTTCTTTCCCTATTTCCTTCCCTAAATTTCTTTTCTCTTTCTCTTTTTCTTTTCTCACTTTCTCATTCCTCTGTCTCTCACCCCATCTTTCTTTTTTTTCCTCCATCTTTCTTTTTTCTCTTTCTCTTTTTTCTCTTTTCTCACTTTCTCATTCCTCTGTCTCTCACCCACATCTTTCTTTCCCTATTTCCTCCATCTTTCTCTAAATGCGATCCCTCTTTTTCTCTTTCTCTTTTACTCTCTTTTCTCCTTTCTCATTCCTCTGTCTCTCACCCACATCTTTCTTTCCCTCTTTTTTCCTCTTTCTCTAAATGCGATCCACTCTTTTCTCTTTCTCTTTTACTCTCTTTTTCTCATATTTTTCATTCCTCTGTCTCTCACCCATCTTTCTTTCCCTATTTCCTCCATCTTTCTCTAAATGCGATCCTCTTTCTTTTCTCTTTTTCTCTCTTTTCTCTTTCTTTTTCTGTCTCCACCCACTTTCTTTCATTTTCCTCTTTCTCTAAATGCAGTCCCCCTCTTTTTCTCTTTTCTTTCTCTTTTTCCTTTCTCATTCTTTCTCTAAATCCCTATTTCCTCAATCTTTTCTCTTTCCTCTTTTTTCTCTTTTCTCTTTTTCTCTCTTTTCTCATTTCTCATTCTCTCTCTCACCCACATCTTTCTTTCCCTATTTCCTCTTTCTTTCTCTAAATGCGATCCCTTTTCTCTTTCTCTTTTTCTCTTTTCTCACTTTCTCATTCCTCTTCTCTCACCCACATCTTTCTTTCTATTTCCTCAATCTTTTCTCCAATCCTCTTTTTTCTTTCCCTTTTACTCTCTTTTCCCTTTCTCATTCTCTGTCTCCCCACCCATCTTTCTTTCCCTATTTCCTCCTCTTTCTCTAAATTCCTCTTTTTCTCTTTCTCTTTTTACTCTCTTTTCTCCTTTCTCATTCCTCTGTCTCTCACCCCATCTTTCTTTCCCTATTTCCTCAATCTTTCTCTAAATACGATCCTCTTTTTCTTTCTCTTTTACTCTCTTTTTCTCTTTCTCATTCCTCTGTCTCTCACCCACATCTTTCTTTCCCTATTTCCTCCATCTTTCTCTAAATGCGATCCCTCTTTTCTCTTTCTCTTTTACTCTCTTTTCTCCTTTCTCATTCCTCTGTCTCTCACCCCATCTTTCTTTCCCTATTTCCTCCTCTTTCTCTAAATGCGATCCACTTTTCTTTTTCTCTTTCTCTTTTTACTCTCTTTTTCACTTTCTCATTCCTCTGTCTCTCACCCACATCTTTTTCTTTCCTATTTCCTCAATCTTTCTCTTAAATGTCGATCCCTTTCTTTTTTTCTCTTTTCTTTTACTCTCTTTTTTTCTCTTTCTCATTCCTCTGTCTCTCACCCACATCTTTCTTTCCCTATTTCCTCAATCTTTCTCTAAATGCGATCCCTCTTTTCTCTTTTCTCTTTTACTTTTTTTTTTCATTTTCTCATTCCTCTGTCTCTCACCCCTCTTTTTTTCCCTGTTTCTTTCTCTCCCTCTTTTTTCTTTTCTTTTCCTTTTTCTCTTTCTCATTCCTCTGTCTCTCACCCCACATCTTTCTTTCCTATTTCTCCCCTTTTTTTCTTTCTCTTTTTACTCTCTTTTTTCTCACTTTCTCATTCCTCTGTCTCTCACCCACATCTTTCTTTCCCTATTTTCCATCTTTCTCAATCTTTTTCTCTTTAAATGCGATCCACTTTCTTTCTCTGTCTTCTTTTTATTTCCTCCTCTTTTTCTCCACTTTCTCATTCTCTTTGTCTCTCACCCACATTCTTTCTCTTTCATCTTTCTTATTTCCTCCATCTTTCTCTAAATGCGATCCACTTTTTTTTTTCTTTTACTCTCTTTTTTCTCACTTTTCATTCCTCTGTCTCTCACCCACATCTTTCTTTCCCTATTTCCTCAATCTTTCTCTAAATGCGATCCTCTCTTTTCTCTTTCTCTTTTTCTCTTTTTCTCCTTTTCTCATTTCTCTCATCTTTCTTTCCCTATTTCCTCCATCTTTCTCTAAATGCGTCCCTTTTTCTCTTTTCTTTTACTCTCCACTTTCTCATTCCTCTGTCTCTCAAATCTTTCGATTTCTCAATCTTTCTCTAAATGCGATCCATCTTTTTTTTCTCTTTCTTTTTTACACTCTTTTTTCTCACTTTTTCTCATTCCTCTGTCTCTCACCCACATCTTTCTTTCCCCTATTTCCTCAATCTTTTCTAAATGCGATCCACTTTTTTTCTCTTTCTCTTTTTACTCTTTTTTCTCACTTTTCATTCCTCTGTCTCTCACCCACATCTTTCTTTCCCTATTTCCTCCATCTTTCTCTAAATGCGATCACTTTTTCTTTTTCTCTTTCTCTTTTTACATTCTCTTTTCTCACTTTTTCATTCCTCTTTCTCTCACCCACATTTTTTTCTTTCTTTTTCCTTTTTTCCATCTTTCTCTAAATGCGATCCATCTTTCTCTCTTTTTTTTCTCTTTCTCTTTTACTCTCTTTTCTCATTTTCTCATTCCTCTGTCTCTCACCCACATCTTTCTTTCCCTATTTCCTCAATCTTTCTCTAAATGTGATCCACTCTTTTTTCTTTTCATTCTTTTACTTTTCTCATTCCTTTTCTCACTTTTCATTCCTCTGTCTCTCCCACCCACATCTTTCTTTTCCCTATTTCCTCAATCTTTCTCTAAATGCGATCCACTCTTTTTCTCTTTCTCTTTTACTCTCTTTTTCTCACTTTCTCATTCCTCTGTCTCTCACCCACATCTTTCTATTTTCTCCCTATTTCTCTCTCTCTTTCTAAATTCTCATTCCTCTGTCTCTCCACCCATTTTTTTTTATTTCCTCCTCTTTCTCTTCCTCTTTTTCTCTTTCTTTTACTCTCTTTTTCTCACTTTCTCATTCTCTTTTCTCATTCCTCTTTCTCTCAATCCCACATCTTTTCTTTTCCCTATTTCCTCCATCTTTCTCTAAATTCTTCCCCGATCCCTCTTTTTCTCTTTCTCTTTTACTCTTTCTTTTTTCTCTTTTCTCATTCCTCTGTCTCTCACCTACATCTTTCTTTTCCCTATTTCCTCAATCTTTCTCTAAATGCGATCCCTCTTTTCTCTTTCTCTTTTACTCTTTTTCTCACTTTCTCATTCCTCTGTCTCTCACCCCATCTTTCTTTTCCCTCTTTTTCTCTTTCTCTTTCCCTCTTTTCTCTTTCTCTTTCTTTCTCTATTCTCTCTCTCACCCATCTTTCTTTCCCTTTTTTTCTTTCTTCTCTTTTCTCTCTTTCTTTTCTCTCTTTCTCATTCCTCATTGTCTCTCTCTCCCCATCTTTCTTTCCCTATTTCCTCCATCTTTCTCTAAATGCGATCCCTTTTTTCTCTTTCTCTTTTACTCTCTTTTCTCACTTTCTCATTTCCTCTCTCTCACCCACATCTTTTCTTTCCCTATTTCCTCCAATCTTTTTCTCTAAATGCGATCCTTTTCTTTTTTTTTCTCTTTTTTTCTTTTTCTTTTTTCTCACTTTCTCATTCCTCTGTCTCTCACCCCATCTTTCTTTCCCTATTTTCAATCCATCCCTCTTTTTTTCTTTCTAAATCTCACTTTCTCATTCCTCTGTCTCTTTTTTCTTTCCCTATTTTCTTTTTTTTACTCTCTTTTTTCTCACTTTTCTCATTCCTCTGTCTCTCACCCACATCTTTCTTTCCCTATTTCCTCCATCTTTCTCTAAATGCGATCCACTCTTTTTCTCTTTCTCTTTTACTCTCTTTTTCTCACTTTCTCATTCCTCTGTCTCTCACCCACATCTTTCTTTCCCTATTTCCTCCATCTTTCTCTAAATGCGATCCACGCTTTTTCTCTTTCTCTTTTCTCTTTTTCACTTTCTCATTCTTTCTCTCACCCACATCTTTCTTTCCCATTTCCTCAATCTTTCTCTAAATGTGATCCACTCTTTTCTTTCTTTCCCTCCTTTCTCATTCCTCTGTCTCTCCCCCCATCTTTCTTTCTATTTCCTCGATCCTCTCTTTCTTTTTTTTTTCTTTTACTCTCTTTTTCTCACTTTCTCATTCCTCTGTCTCTCACCCACATCTTTCTTTCCCTATTTCCTCAATCTTTCTCTAAATGCGATCCACTCTTTTTCTCTTTCTCTTTTACTCTCTTTTTCTCACTTTCTCATTCCTCTGTCTCTCACCCACATCTTTCTTTCCCTATTTCCTCCATCTTTCTCTAAATGCGATCCACTCTTTTTCTCTTTCTCTTTTACTCTCTTTTTCTCACTTTCTCATTCCTCTGTCTCTCACCCACATCTTTCTTTCCCTATTTCCTCAATCTTTCTCTAAATGCGATCCACTTTTTTTTCTCTTTTTTCTCTTTTCACTTTTCATTCCTCTGTCTCATCTTTCTTTCTATTTTCCTCCTCTTTCTCTAAATGCGTCCTCTTTTCTCTTTCTCTTTTACTCTCTTTCTCCTTTCTCATTCTTTCTCTAAATCTTTCGATCCTATTTCCTCCATCTTTTTAAATCGTCAATCTTTCTTTTTTTTTCTCTTTTTTCTTTCTTTCTCATTCCTCTGTCTCTCACCCATCTTTCTTTCCCTATTTCCTCCTATTTTTCTCAATCTTTTTTCTCTTTTTAAATTCCTCGATCCACATTTTTTTTTCTCTTTTCTTTTTTTCTCTTTTTCTTTTTCACTCTCTTTTTCTCACTTTCCTCATTCTCTGTCTCTCACCCACATCTTTCTTTCCCTATTTTTCTCCATCTTTTCTCTAAATCTTTTCACTTTCGATCCACTCTTTTTTCTTTTTCTCTTTCTCCTCTTTTTTTCTCTCTTTCTCATTCCTCTGTCTCTCCACCCACATCTTTCTTTCCTATTTCCTCCATCTTCTCTCTAAATGTGATCCTCTTTTTCTCTTTCTCTTTTACTCTTTCTCTCTTTTCTCACTTTCTCATTCCTCTGTCTCACCCACATCTTTCTTTCCCTATTTCCTCAATCTTTCTCTAAATGCGATCCACTCTTTTTCTCTTTCTCTTTTACTCTCTTTTTCTCACTTTCTCATTCCTCTGTCTCTCACCCACATCTTTCTTTCCCTATTTCCTCAATCTTTCTCTAAATGCGATCCACTCTTTTTCTCTTTCTCTTTTACTCTCTTTTTCTCACTTTCTCATTCCTCTGTCTCTCACCCACATCTTTCTTTCCCTATTTCCTCCATCTTTCTCTAAATGCGATCTTTTCTCTTTCTTTTACTCTCTTTTCTCTTTTCATTCCTCTGTCTCTTTTCTTTCCCTATTTTTCTCATTTCTCTCTGTCTCTTTTCTCTTTCCTTTTACTCTCTTTTCTCCTTTCTCATTCCTCTGTCTCTCACCCATCTTTCTTTTCCCTATTTCCTCCATCTGCGATCCCTCTTTTTCTCTTTCTCTTTTACTCTCTTTTTCTCACTTTCTCATTCCTCTGTCTCTCCCATCTTTCTTTCCCTATTTCCTTTTCTTTCTCTAAATGCGATCCTCTTTTCTCTTTTTCTCTCTTTTTCTCTTTTCATTCCTCTGTCTCCCCACCCATATCGATCCACTTTCCTCAATCTTTCTCTTGCGATCCACTCTTTTCTCTTTTCTTTTTCTCTCTTTTCTCTTTTCATTCCTCTGTCTCTCACCCCATCTTTCTTTCCCTATTTCCTCAATCTTTTCTCTAAATGCGATCCCTCTTTTCTTTTTCTCTTTTCTTTTCTCTTTTTCTCACTTTCTCATTCCTCTGTCTCTCACCCAACATCTTTTCTTTCCCTATTTTCCTCCATCTTTCTCTAAATGCGATCCACTCTTTTTTTTTCTTTTACTCTCTTTTCTCACTTTCTTTCTCTGTCTCTTTTCTTTCTTTCCCTATTTCCTCCATCTTTCACCCACATCTTTCTTTTCTCTCTCTTTTCTATTTCTCTCACCCCATCTTTCTTTCCTATTTCTCCAAATGCGTCCACTCTTTTCTCTTTCTCTTTTCCTCTTTTCTTTTCTCTTCCTCTTTTACCTCTCTTTTTTTTTCTCTTTCACTTCTTTTTCTCATTCTCTCTGTTTCTCACCCACATTCCTTTCTTCACCCCTTTATTTCCTATTTCCTCCATCTTTCTCTAAATGCGATCCCTCTTTTCTCTTTCTCTTTTACTCTCTTTTTTCTCACTTTCTCATTCCTCTGTCTCTCACCCACATCTTTCTTTCCTATTTCCTCAATCTTTCTCTAAATGCGATCCTCTTTTTCTTTTCTCTTTCCCTCTTTTCTCTCATTCCTCTTCTCACCCACATCTTTCTTTCCCTATTTCCTCAATCTCTAAACCGATCCACATTTTCTCTTTTCTTTTCTCTCTTTTCTCCTTTCTCATTCCTCTGTCTCTCAACATCTTTCTTTCTATTTCCTTTCTTTCTTGCGATCCCTCTTTTTTTTCTCTTTTTTTTTTTTCATTCCTCTGTCTCTTTTCTCACTTTCTCATTCCTCTGTCTCTCACCCACATCTTTCTTTCCCTATTTCCTCCATCTTTCTCTAAATACGATCCACTTTTTCTCTTTCTCTTTTACTCTCTTTTCTCACTTTCTCATTCCTCTGTCTCTCACCCCATCTTTCTTTCCCTATTTCCTCCATCTTTCTCTAAATGCGATCCACTTTTTCTCTTTCTCTTTTACTCTCTTTTCTCACTTTCTCATTCCTCTGTCTCTCACCCACATCTTTCTTTCCCTATTTCCTCAATCTTTTCTCTAAATGCGATCCACTTTTTTCTTTCTCTTTTACTCTCTTTTCTCCTTTTTCATTCCTCTGTCTCTCACCCACATCTTTCTTCTTTCCCTATTTCCTCCATCTTTCTCTAAATGCGATCCCACTTTTTCTCTTTCTCTTTTACTCTCTTTTTCTCACTTTTCTCATTCCTCTGTCTCTCACCCCATCTTTCTTTCCCTATTTCCTCCATCTTTCTCTAAATGCGATCCTCTTTCTTTTCTTTTTCTCTTTTTTCTCCTTTCTCATTCCTCTTTCTCATCTTTCTTTCTATTTCCTCAATCTTTCTCTAAACATCTTTTTCTTTTTCCCTTTTTTCTCCTTTTCATTCCTCTGTCTCTCAAATCTTTCTTTCCTATTTCCTCCATCTTTCTCTTACGATCCCTCTTTTTTTCTTTCTCTTTTACTCTCTTTTTACTTTCTCTGTCTCTTCTTTTTTCTCCTCTTTCTCATTCACTCTTTTTCTCTTTCTTTTACTCTCTTTTTCTCACTTTCTCATTTCTGTCTCTCATCTTTCTTTCCATTTTCTCCATCTTTCTCTAAATGCGATCCTCTTTTTTTTCTCTTTTTCTCTTTTTTTCTCTCTTTTCTCTCTTTCTTTCATTCCTCTGTCTCTAAACCCACATCTTTTTCTTTCCCTCTTTTTTCTCTTTCTCATTTCTTTCTCTAAATTCGATCCCTCTTTTTTTCTTTCTCTTTTACTTTTCTTTTTCTCACTTTCTCATTCCTCTGTCTCTCACCCACATCTTTCTTTCCCTATTTCCTCCATCTTTCTCTAAATGCGATCCTCATCTTTTTCTCTTTCTCTTTACTCTCTCTTTTTCTCACTTTCTCATTCCTCTGTCTCTCACCCACATCTTTCTTTCCTATTTCCTCAATCTTTTCTAAATGCGATCCACTCTTTTTTTTCTCTTTTCTCTTTTTTTCTCTTTTCATTCCTCTGTCTCTTCTTTCTTTCCCTATTTCCTCCTCTTTCTCTAAATCCCCTCTTTTTCTCTTTCTCTATTTTCTCCTTTCTCATTCTCTGTCTCTCACCCATCTTTCTTTCCTATTTCCTTCTTTCTCTAAATACGATCCTCTTTTTCTCTTTCTCTTTTACTCTTTTTCTCACTTTCTCATTCCTCTGTCTCTCACCCACATCTTTCTTTCCCTATTTCCTCCATCTTTCTCTAAATGATCTCTTTTCTCTTTTCTTTTCTCTTTTTTCTCTTTTCTCATTCCTCTCTTCTCACCCACATCTTTCTTTTCATATTTTTCCTCTTTCTCTAAATGCGATCCACTTTTTTTTCTTTCTCTTTTTCTCTTTTCTCTTTTCATTCCTCTGTCTCCCCTCCACATCTTTCTTTCCCTATTTCTTTTTTCTAAATGCGATCCACTTTTTCTCTTTTCTTTTTTTTTACTCTTTTCTCCTTTCTCATTCCTCTGTCTCCCACCCACATCTTTCTTTCCCTATTTCCTCAATCTTTTTCTAAATGCGATCCACTTTTTTCTTTCTCTTTTTACTCTCTTTTTCACTTTCTCATTCCTTCTCTCACCCACATCTTTCTTTCTGTCTCCATCTTTCTAAATGCGATCCCTCTTTTTCTCTTTCTCTTTTACATCTTTTCTTTTCTCATTCCTCTGTCTCACCCATCTTTCTTTCCCATTTCCTCCTTCTTTCTCTAAATGCGATTCCTTTTTCTCTTTCTCTTTTACTTTCTTCTTTTTCTCACTTTTCATTCCTCTGTCTCTCACCCACATCTTTCTTTCCCTATTTCCTCCATCTTTCTCTAAATGCGATCCACTCTTTTTCTCTTTCTCTTTTTACTCTCTTTTCTCACTTTTTCATTCCTCTGTCTCTCACCCACATCTTTCTTCCCATATTTCTCCATCTTTCTCTAAATATTTCCTCTCTTTTCTCTTTCTTTTTCTCCTTTTCTTTTTCTCATTCCTCTGTCTCTCACCCATCTTTCTTTCCCCTATTTCCTCAATCTTTCTCTAAATCCAATCTTTTCTCTTTCTCTTTTCTCTTTTTTCTTTTCTCATTCCTCTGTCTCTCACCCATCTTTCTTTCCCTATTTCTCCCATTTCTAAATGCGATCCCTCTTTTTCTCTTTCCTTTTACTTTTTTTCTCCTTTCTCATTCCTCTGTCTCTCAATCTTTCTTTCCCTATTTCCTCCTTCTTTTTCTTAATGCGATCCACTCTTTTTCTCTTTCTCTTTTTCTCTCTTTTTCTCACTTTTCATTCCTCTGTCTCTCCCCCACATCTTTCTTTCCCTTTTCCTCCATCTTTTCTAAATCGATCCTCTTTTCTCTTTCTCTTTTACTCTCTTTTTCTCACTTTCTCATTCCTCTGTCTCTCACCCACATCTTTCTTTCCCTATTTCCTCCTTCTTTCTCTAAATGCGATCCACTCTTTTTCTCTTTCTCTTTTACTCTCTTTTTCTCACTTTTTCATTCCTCTGTCTCCCACCCACATCTTTCTTTCCCTATTTCCTCCATCTTTCTCTAAATGCGATCCTTTTTCTTTTCTCTTTTCTCTTTTTTACTCTCTTTTCTCACTTTCTCATTCCTCTGTCTCTCCCACATCTTTTTCTTTTCCCTATTTCTCAATCTTTTTTTCTCTAAATGCGATCCACTCTTTTTTTTTCTCTTTACTCTCTTTTTTTACTTTCTCATTCTTTTCTCATCTTTCTTTCCCTTTCCTCATTCCTCTGTCTCTTTTCACCCACTTTCTTTTTTTTCCTTTCTCATTTTCTCTCCATCTTTCTCTAAATGCGATCCCTCTTTTCTCTTTCTCTTTTACTCTCTTTTCTCACTTTCTCATTCCTCTGTCTCTCACCCACATCTTTCTTTCCCTATTTCCTCAATCTTTCTCTAAATGCGATCCCTCTTTTCTCTTTCTCTTTTACTCTCTTTTCTCACTTTCTCATTCCTCTGTCTCTCACCCACATCTTTCTTTCCATATTTCCTCCATCTTTCTCTAAATACGATCCTCTTTTTCTCTTTCTCTTTTTACTCTCTTTTCTCACTTTCTCATTCCTCTGTCTCTCACCCACATCTTTCTTTCCCTAGTTCCTCCCTCTTTCCCTAAATGCGATCCAATCTTTTTCTCTTTCTCTTTTACCCTCTTTTTCTCACTTTCTCATTCCTCTGTCTCTCACCCACATCTTTCTTTCCCTATTTCCTCCATCTTTCTCTAAATGCGATCCACTCTTTTTCTCTTTCTCTTTTACTCTCTTTTTCTCACTTTCTCATTCCTCTGTCTCTCTCACCCATTTCCTCCATCTTTTCTTTCCCCTTTTTCCTTTCTCTTTTTTTTCTTTCTAAATCTCTCTCACCCACATCCTTTCCCTTTTTCCTCCTTTTCTCTTTCTCTTTTTTTCTCTTTTTTTCTCTTTTCTCTTTTCTTTCATTCCCTGTCTCTCACCCCTCATCCTTTCTTTTTCCCTATTTCCTCCATCTTTCTCTAAATCCGATCCATCCTCTTTTTCTCTTTTCTCTTTTACCCTCTTTTTTCTCCTTTCTCATTCCTCTGTCTCTCACCCACATCTTTCTTTCCCTATTTCCTCCATCTTTCTCTAAATGCGATCCCTCTTTTTTCTCTTTCTCTTTTACTGTTTTTTCACTTTCTCATTCCTCTGTCTCTCACCCACATCTTTCTTTCCTATTTCCTCCATCTTTCTCTAAATGCGATCCCTCTTTTTCTCTTTCTCTTTTTACTCTCTTTTCTCACTTTCTCATTCCTCTGTCTCTCACCCACATCTTTCTTTCCCTATTTCCTCCATCTTTCTCTAAATGCGATCCTCTTTTTTTCTCTTTCTCTTTTATTCTCTTTTCTCACTTTCTCATTCCTCTGTCTCTCACCCACATCTTTCTTTCCCTATTTCCTCTCTTTTCTCTAAATGCGTTCCTCTCTTTTTCTCTTTCTCTTTTTCTCTCTTTTTCTCTCTTTTCTCATTCCTCTGTCTCTCACCCACATCTTTCTTTTTCCCTAGTTCTCCCTCTTTCCCTAAATGCGATCCAATCTTTTCTCTTTCTCTTTTACCCTCTTTTTCTCACTTTCTCATTCCTCTGTCTCTCACCCTGTCTCTTTCTTTTTTCCCTATTTCCTCCATCTTTCTCTAAATGCGATCCCTCTTTTCACTTTCTCTTTTACCCTCTTTTTTCTCACTTTCTCATTCCTCTGTCTCTCACCCACATCTTTCTTTCCCTATTTCCTCCATCTTTCTCTAAATCCGATCCACTCTTTTTCTCTTTCTCTTTTACTCTCTTTTTCTCACTTTCTCATTCCTCTGTCTCTCACCCTCATCCTTTCTTTCCCTATTTCCTCCATCTTTCTCTAAATCGATCCACTCTTTTTCTCTTTCTCTTTTACTCTCTTTTTCTCACTTTCTCATTCCTCTGTCTCTCATCCACATCTTTCTTTCCTTACTTCCTCTTTTTATCTTACTCTGCATTTGAACTACACTTTTCTCTATCTTCCTCTTTTATTCCCTTTTTGTTACTTTCTCCTAACACTGTTTCTCACTTTCATTTTCCTGTCCTCACTTCTCGTTTTTCTTTATCCTTCTTTTTTCATAACCTTCTTCTTCTTCTTCTTTTTCTCTCTTTTTCTTGTTTTTGCATTCCTCTTTTCTTTTCCCTATCTCTTTTCTTCGTTTGTTTTCTCTCTGTTTTCCCTTTTCTATCCTTCTCTTAATGGGTTATACCTTCCTTCTCTTTATCCCTTTTGTCTTTTTCTACCCTTTCTCTTTCTCTTTTCCTCTCTATTTCTCACCTTCCCATCTCGCTCACTCTCATTCTTTCTCTCTCTACTTTGTCTTTTTTTATCTTCTTCATCTTCATCTCCTCCCTTTTGTCTTTCTTCTATTTTTTCTGCTTCTATCTATATATACCCTTCATATATTCGCTTTCTCCATAGCACTTTTTATCCTTTTTTCTTTCTTTCTTTCTTTTTCTGAGTGATAGCCGACCTGTTCTTTCCGATGTTCGTCCGTCTGTACGCACCTGTTTACGCCCATGTGAATCCGCATCCATTTCATAAGCATATGAATGTATATGCGTACAGTTTAACCGTGTATGTACGTGTGTAATTACTGTGTCTCTATCTATACGCGTGTGTTTTCGACTGAAATGATCTATCATCTTGTGGTAATAATTACTGACAATCAACGATTTACTCAGGGTAAACAATACCTGGGTAGTGTTGGCGTCCTTATACTTGGTATCATAGCTGTTGTGTTTATTTTAGAGTTACATTGACGTCACTACTTGTGTTGATTTCGCGATGAGACTCATCGGCAGTGTTTGACTCCTGGGAGATTCTAACCGCAGTGTTACGGGTGACAGAGACGAGTAAGCCCAGAACCGCCTCGACTAACTCACCGGCTACCCATCCCTTCTGCCTGTCCTCATCTCGGCGTCCTTGATACCAATATATGCTGAAATGTTCTCGGCCTAGCCAAGAATATTTTTTTTAATCAATTCACCCCAAGCAAGGAAATAATTCAAGACACAAGGAAAAACTTGGAGTGAAAGGAAATGAAAATTTTTTTACAAGGTACCAGAAACCCAATCCCAAACAGGAAACAATCGATAAGGCTTTACACTTGTTCAAAAGACCGGTAAGAAGTGTGAACCGGACGATCTTTCCAAAGCAAAGAGGTTCGGTTATTTTGGTCAAATTTTTGGAAGTGATCTTGTTGATAATTTTTCAGCACCCATCATAAATAATTTGTAACATACAAGTAATATGTATATATTTATTTTATTATTCCCTTTATACAAAACCCAAGCACCACTCAATGCAGAAAAATACTAAATGAGGTTGTTTTAAAGTTGTACAACTAAGGATAAAAGGGACATAAACTTTAGACTTGAAGAGATGAAGATTATGGTAACCGGGAAAGTATCCCCTCGGGAGCCTGTTTCACGATTCAACAGTTCTGGTGAAGAAGCTGTCTGAGTATAAATTCTTCCTTACTAATGAAATACGAGGAGAATGAGACATTCTGGGTGCTATCTGTGAAGGACCCAACTGGTGGAATGTGCTTCGTCTGAACATTTACCATAAAAATAGCTATAGAGTAGCGAGAAGCTAGCAATGTTTTCGTCTATGGGAGAGGGTTTGAAAATGATTCATCACCCACACGACCGCTCAAACACTTTTGAACACTGTCAACTCAGAAGTCAGCCTAGATATAACAGTTCTAATAGGGCATGACAGGAGGAGTCACGTGCTTTCTGGACGCGTACAAGAAGCCGACCATATTTCCAGCATCTGCCTGCTGCCCTTGAAAAGGACCACCAATCAATGTTTTACTGGGGCAGGAAATGGCTTGTAAATTTTAACTTCACAACAAAACTGCTCTCATTTAACCACCATAAAGAAACTTTTCTACCTGCCATCAGCAGGGCTTACGCTAAACTCCTGGAGAGCAACACACTGTGCCTCACGTTTTCGACTGACTTCAAGTGGAGCGACTTCATCGAATCAATAACTGCATCTACTGCAAGGAAAGTTGGGTTACTGTGTCGTGCCAGAAGGTTTTTCTCGTCAGAGTCCATCTTGCACATTTACAAATCTACCATTCGTCAGTGCATTGAATGCTGTCGACATATCTGGTCTGGTGCTCCTGCTATTCATTTCGATGTTCTTGACAAAATCCAAAGAAGTATCGGCAATGTAATCGATCCTGACCTGGCATCTCGACTTCAGTCACTTTCTCACCGACGTCACGTGGTTTCTCCCTGACTTTTATACAAATATTTTCATAGCAACTTCTCTGCCGTGATTTTTCCCCTGGTGCCTCGACTTCATGCATTTAAGTGTACCACTAGATTGGAATCTAGGTCCCATCCTTTTACTGTTAATATAGTTAAATGCAACCGCCATTTCTACTCCAACGGTTTCTTTTCTCGCACTTCCCGCCTGTGGAACTCCTTTCTGTTTACTTGCTTCCCTGATAATTACAATCTTCAAAAATTTAATTGCAATGTCAATCGTCATCTTCTATCTTCTTGAATCCCGTTCATCTCTTGTTCTTTCCTCAATCCTCCATATACGCAGTCTTTTCTCTCACTCCCTTTAAGATCTATCGTAGTGGCATTCCTGCCATGCTTGGGGTGAAATGATTAAAAAAAAAATGAAAAATGGATGGTATATACCAGTCGCCTTTGAGCTCATCAGAGTGCAATATCGATAGTTTCTTTATTTCGAGAGTTTGATTGTTTATCTAAAATGTCAATATATTCAGGAGTAATCAATTGACATTATGCTGTGGGGTGGGGGAAGACCAGAATGGATATTACCTATTTTAGCATCATTTTTTTTTCAAATGTGCTAAAAATTATCCAAAATTATTGATCATATAAATGAAATCATGACATTAATTCTCTCTTACTTAATTATTTTTTACTCATACTTCCACCAATACAAATCCCAAGAGCCACTCAAGGTAGAGTGAGATTGGAAAGAAGGGAAAATTAAGAGACCATTACCAGGATGAGAAGGATAGATATCGGTTGACCTTGGACTTAAAAAGACTAAGATTGTAGTTGTGATGGAATCATTCTATCGGAAGTTTGTTCGACAATGTAACAGTTCTGGGGAAGAAGCTGTCTGAGTGGAAGGGAATTGGGTTGATTTGCCACTGTATATATATATATATATATATATATATATATATATATATATATATATATATATAGTGCATTAAATCAGTATTCCTATATAGTGGTATTAAATCAGTATTTCTATATATTTGCACTAAATACTGAAATTGAGAAGAGCTGTGCGCGCCGAGAATGCATACATACATAAATGATGATTGCCGCCTCTAAATCAGATGAGAAACACATCCTCATCATTTGCATCACCTGTAATGACCTCTGTCTCATTTTGGCTTCCATGTCCTCTTAGTTGAGCCTTGAGACCAATATTAGATTTCATAGATGTCAGGCATCTATAAACTTGATTGAGTTGATTGGATCCGTATGATCTACGACATTCCTGTGTAACACTATGTGCCGCTTTAGTCTAGATGATGATCTGCCAACCTTGTTGCAGAGAACACAGGTATTATCGATACAGGCACACTTGGCATGATCTTGGTTGTTATGGTGACCTTTGAGGTCGTTTACATAACCTGCCGTCGATAAAAGCATTTCCAAGTTTGCATACTTTTTGGTCAATCACGCTTGATCTGAGCATGCCCGAGACATTCATCCTCAAAGGCATTGCATCCCTGCCTTATAAAGTACCTCCAAACTCTGTCATTTAAAGTCAGTCCTTTCCAATCTTGCACACCCATGTACAAGGCATTCAGATTATCCTTCAAATTATCTTTAAAATTCTTCCTAGGCTTGAGATGTGGACGCGATCCTGTCTTCAGTTCCATAGAGAAAAGTGATTGGGTATCCTGTTATCCACCACGCTTACAACGTACCCTGCCCATCACATCATGTTTAGGGCTATTATTATTCCTACGCTATTGTATTCAGATCTTCAGAGGACAAAGATCAAAGACTGACTTGTACCCGGATTTGTGTTTAAGTGTGCTACTAGATTATCATCTAGGTTCCACCATTTTAATGTTGAATTAGTTAAATGCAACTGCCACTTCTACTCCAACAGATTCTTTTCTCGCACTTCTAGCCTGTGGAGCTTCCTTCCGTTTCTTTGCTGCCTTGATAACTATAATGTTCAAAAATTTAAATTCAATGTCGATCGCCATCTTCTATCTTCTTGAACCCCCTTCATCTTTTGTCCTTTTCTCGACTCTTCCTATACCCAGTCTTTTCTCCCACCTTCATTCTTTGTAACCGTCCCCCCCACGTACCAGTGGCATTCCCACCTTGCTTAGGGAGAAATGATAAAAAAAAAGATGTTAAAGATACATTTCGGGCGTTTTTTGGTGAAATCGGGTAAGCCATTTTATATTCTTCTAGTATATTGTCCATATTTCGGAAGTGTACAGCCGGGACGTTAAGACACAGGCCGTATGCACACTTTCCGTATATGTCGTCGTATAAGACGACTTTTTAATCTTGAAACCGCCCACCCCAACCAAATAGGGTATCGGTTTTAACTTCAGGTATAAAAAGTGATCCTTAAATTCTGCGGTTTATGGTAAGTTGTTAGCATGGGAGATCATGCTATCATTACCGCGTAACGGTAAGTGCACCAGGCAGATTATGGTAGGCATAACGGTAAGTGTAGAATGTGGTAGATAATTGACAAATTCTCGCCTGCCTTTTTCGATGATGTTGAACAAAGACACAATTGGATATGTGTCTCAAGAAGCCGTTTAAAGATCGCATTCGAGAACAGTGGGATGAGTGGATGGTTAGCGGAGAAAAGTCATTCAGGCTACCGTAAAAGACTACCGAAAACACAACACACACTCATGAGGTATTATAGATTGTGGTAGTTAACGGACAATATCTTGCCTTCTTTTTTTTAGGATGTTGAACAAAAACACAACTGGATGTGTGTCTCAACAAAAATCTTGCTTTTGATTCGAAATTCCGATCATTGTAGCAGTCGAAGTTGTAAGTATTCTTGAATTTAACATTATTGTGGATGCTCGAGAGTTAGTGCAATCGAACAATATATATATATATATATATATATATATATATATATATAAAGGTGAACATTGAAGTCAACACTCAGAGGCGACAGGCTGTTTCATGCTA